GGATTTCGTTTATTCCAGGAGATTAGCAGAAATTTCTATAGAATCAGAGTAACAAAAAGCATCCATACCATTATTGGTGAAAAAATTGTTGATGTTTATAAATAAGGAAAATCTGTTTTTTTCTTTAAAAAACCCAATTATTAAATAAATTCATATTCTGTGAATGTATTCAATGAAATGTAGCAGGGGAAATTACATAACCAGTGCTTTATTCTTGAATGGCATTTGACATTTTCTAAGAGTTAAGAACTTGACTTCACATTTTGTTCACATAGTTTGTTGGTGTGATTTGCCAGGTGTTTGGGAAGCAGCATGGAAAACATTCTACCACAGAGAACATTAACTGTTGCTTTATTCAGATGGGAATATAATCTTTTAGAATGGTATACATGGACCCTGGAAAAATTAACTAGTTTTAGTAGTTACTTTCCATTGCTGAAATGAGTAAGCTGCTCATAGAGCTGTGCCTTTTCTCTGAAACCTCATCACTTTATTATTCCTGGCTCCTTTTCCCTTGAATAATTCTGTGTTCAACCTCACAGTCAATGTGGTCCCAAGCACAATTTTTTACTTCATTCCTTCCCACAGTACTTTTCCTAAATTTCATATGGCAGCTTTCTCTTTTCTGCCACTTTCAATGGCTCTTTCCCCCCTAAATTTCCAAGTGGTTGACCACAAGAACCACCTGTTTCTTACTCTACAGTCTGATTAAACTTATTTATATTTTATCACACTGCTAGTTTTTTAGAAAATTGTAGCTTGAGAAATGGGGGAGTATTTGGTTAAAGGCAAATTCATACCAGTAAAAAATTATATTTATTTTTTAACAATTTTAAAAATTTTATAATTTTCCTACATTTAATTTGTTATTTCAGTTGAAAAAATCTAAAGGAGTGCTACTAAAATAGAGGATAATACTATTGCAAATGATACAATGTATTGCTTTAATTTCAGTCAGGTAATACACTGGAAAAAGGTGAATGTGGGAATAGATAAACAGTGATAGGATGAGAGAAATTTCTTGTGTCAACTGAGTTTCATTCATGCAGGCTCTAACAGAAAGGAACACAAAGACTTGTTTTGCATTCAGAATTATTTATGGATATTCCAATAAGCACAAGGTATAATAATACACAGTACTTTAGCCTTTCCACAAAAACACTTGGGGGTCTGCTGCCCACTGTAGTAGTGAAGCAGGAATGTCAATCAAATTTTAGGAGCTGGTCACACAGAGTGAAAATTGAAAGGAATAAATTATCTCCTAAATGCCTCTTTACTATTAAATAAAATATTCCAAGCAATAGAGAGCAGGTTAAACTCCCCTTGCAGTGTAGGAAGAGCAGGAAGGTATTCCATGAGGCTCAAGGGAGCTGCTCTTGTGTGAGTGTTTTCAAGCGTGCTTCTGAGACTCTAATGGTGTGCTAAGCCCGATCCTGGGCACTAAGTACTTCCAATTTGGCAATTTAATCAGTTGCTGGATCACTGATTTCTTACCCTAATGATTCACTGAATTTTGTAAGGAAATGGACAAATAGGTGAGCAGTATCAGAAAAAATTTAAGTAATTTTCTGTTCACTTTTACAAAGGGAAAGCTATCCTGTTTACCTGTGTACCTGGAATCTTCTTGTCAGAACAGTGGAAATCACTTTTCACCTGATATGGTGTGGAAGGGGAGATGGTTCTGTGTGTGTGTGTATAAGAATGATGATATTGCAAGACCTATAATGCTGCCTTATTAGACTAACTTCATTATTTTAAGTAAAATGAATTGTTGCTGCAAATTTTCTGTCGATTCTCTCTGTAACAAAATAGGTAATGTTTGATAAGTCTTTGAGGATGCAAGTTAGGTTCATTTTGCCATACCATCTTTTTACATACTAGTGCCACAAACTACTATAATGTAGGAAGTTAAGAATGTGTGATAAGAAAAAAAAAAAAAGGCATCCTGGAGTTCTTTTGTCGTATTAAAAATCTGACATATCTAAATTTTGTCCACGTCTCCATTGTCTTCTGAGAATTCCCATGTATATGTGCATATAGACTAATGATTTTTATTAACAACTCAAATAATATATTTAGTTGAGATGGAAATCTGGAACACTACTGGAGTTCTTTTGCACTTAGGCAATGCAAAGCTTAATGTTTCTACTACATTAAAATACATTTACTTTATGATTTTAAGAGGTTTATACTGGGGATTAGCCAAACAAATATGGTGTATGTTTCAGTTTTGGACATTGAGAATGAGTCATGGGCATTTTTGATGTTGCTAACATATTTATAAAAGCAAAAGGAATTTCTTTGAACCTAAATATATAAAAATGTATAGTAATATATTTAATGATAAAAAATAAATTTGTGTGGTATTGGCTGGATGCTCAGAAGAAAGATGGCATTGAAGCATTTTGCTCTGCATGTTGAGTCAGGTTGGATATTAAGAAATATTTTTTCACTGAAAGAGAGTAGAGTCTATGCATTAGAACACACTCCCCAGGAAATGGTTGAGTCACCATTTCTGGAAGTGTCCAAAAAATGAGTAGAAGTGGTACTTCACAATATACTCCAGTGGGCATATTGATATTTGGTCAAAGGTTGTGTTTGATGATCTTTGATAGTAATCCTATGATTCTATTAAGTTAGGTAGCATGGTTAACACGGGCTCTGAGAAAAAAGGAAAAGTATGAATAGACAGTAATTCCAGAGGGTCAGGTCAAGTATAAGCTCAAGCTAACCCCACTCCTATATATAGATAGGCAAAGTTCTGAGTGATGAGGAAGCTTATTTTAAACTTGTTACAGGTTATTGCATATCAAATTGTATAAGTGGATGTATCTAAATGCCATCTAAATGCTATCACACTCTGATTCTGAAATCCTGAACTGAATGAAAAAAAAAAAAAAAGAAAAAAGGGAAAAGGTTGAACTTCCTGCCAGAAATTCCTAAGAAAAATTCCCAGAACTTGGTAAGGACACTGGAGTTCTGAGTTTCTAGAAGTATTAGAACAACACTCAGTGCCAGAAGTTGGGCAATCAACCTAGTTTGGTGGAGATATGGAAAGTCGTTAGGACTGAAATCCTAAGCAGAACATGAACTGATGGTGTCTCATTCATGTACAAATAAGTGAAATGAACAGTCTGGGGTGTTCCTTCTTATGGGCAGTAAGTAATCTGCTTGCAAATAGCATGTGCATTTCTGTGCACATTCATGTTCTGGAACACATGTTCTGCCTGAAGTCCTAGTTTTGTTTAGATGTTGGTTTTTAAATAATGGTTAATATATTATACTTATTAATGTCATATATTTTTCAAAGACTAGCAGGAAAACCTGTCAGCAGTTCACTGGAAAGATAAAGTGAATGGTTAAAATTAAAATCTACCAGCTGGAAACACTTCATTGCTTATAATCGTAGAGCAAGAATTTTGAGATGTTAATTCCAGGGTTGCACCTGTATAATTTAAAGGCATATTCATGTGGACATAGCCTGGGAATGTATCCATGTAGTGGAGAGAATAACCTAGTATGCAGTTGTTTGCCATCATACTACATTTAGCTCCTGAGGAGGACTTCTACATTTTTATTTGATTGTTCTTCCTGTGGGTGTGCATATATTCCAAAGAATATTTTAAGATTGTGGTGAATTTTTTTTAATGTTTCTTGTCAACATGCTGACTGACAGGCTGTTATGGGTAGACTGCTTTTGATACTTAGGTCTTTACATTACTTTAAAAACATTAATAGTTTTTCATAGCTTGCAGTGTAAACTCTATGACTATTTTAATAATTAGTAGTCCTTCTTTAAATTTTAACTATACCATGTCAAACTGGGCCCTGTTGAGCTGTCTACAGCTCCTCATTCTGTAACAAACTGTAAAGTTTAAATTGCGTAATCAGGGATTTAAGTAAGTTGTTTATAGTGGAAATTCTTTTGCATTTATTTGACAAGAAGTGAACACGAAGACCTCTCATACTATATATAATTGACCTAATATAAGGAATATTTTCATGTGTGTTATGGTGCATTTTATCCTCATGCAAGAGAGGCAAATATAATAAGTGTAGGTAATATACCTACTGGTAACCATGTGTTTGATTACTGGCAAAACAGTAATCATAAGCAAATTAAGATATGAGAAATAAAAATGAAGGACTATGTTGTCCATGTTTCTTGTGAAGTCAGTTTACACTTCCAATGTGGACAGTTGTGATTAGCCTTCCCTTTAAAATATCCCAGCTTCATGGAAATTGTAGTCACTCATGGCAAACCCCTCTCTTTTCCAAAGCCTTTTCCCTGTACTGTGTGCATATATTTATAGTAAAAGTAAAATTACTTTCTTCTATTTTTGATAATTGGAGAATATCTAGCATAACAAATATATTTAAAATATATAAATTTTGATATTGTTTCATAATACAAGCAAAATATAAAGTTAGTTTTATTATATGAATTACATATGGGTTTTTTTGGCATATTCTGGTACTGATGTTATATCTCTTAATTATTTATTTAAATAATGAAACACTTTGATCTAAATTCACCTTTTATCACAATATGATCAGTATTAGGAGGACTTAGAAATGGGAAAGCTCTGGAGCTATGTGGGGACAGATTTCAAAGTGGTGGTAGACTTTCAGACAGATTAGTTTCAATGATATTATTCATACTAAAGTTATGACTGCTTTCAAACAAGGAAATAAGTAATCTGACTTCTTGACTTGCTTTCAGAGATTTATGCATTTTTTCTTCCTAACTGAAATACTGTAGAAAATCCCAAATTTTAGCTATCGTCTTGATCCATAATCTCCCACTGACTTCTCAGAATAGATATGTGAATCATCTAGATGATTTTATGTTTAGAAACATATATCTTATTATTTTGTTAATGAGTCCAATGCTCTTAAACCATAATGTTATGATTATAATGTTTTCTGTTTTGTGTTGTGTATCATTCCTTCTCCATCTTATTGTCTCATATCTATTTTTCTTTCTGCCATCACCTCAGTCATTATGTTACTTTACCTCGTTCCCGGTACACCCAGTCCTCAGATCACCATTACAGGGATGTCAGGTATATGTTTTCCTCTGTGTGACTCTGTGTGGGTAATGCATGTGCTGTGTACCTACATGTCCACTTCTGGTTTTATTTGTCTGTCTATAGTGGTAGAAAACTTAGAAGTTGAGTTAGTATCATCATTAGATTTGTTAACATAGCATGCACACAAACGCTGGTTAATTCTTCCTGTGTTTCACTTGAATATTTTCTCACTGCCAATAGTCTATAATTGATGGTCCTCAAAGATAATTCTTTATTTATATCACTCCAGTGTCTTTTAGAGAATATATAAAGAAAATAATCTAAACCAGCAAACACTGATACCTGCTAATACTGTGATTTTAGTGTGCATAAAATCATGTATGAGTGACTGTGTTAAAGGTTATGACAAAACTGGAGAGTGATACCTTTCTCAGTCTTGTAGCTCTTGTAGCTGTGAGCCAATATACTTAAAATTTTAACAGTAATTTTGCCAAGTTCACCGAAGTTGCAGTCATGTTCTGTTCCAGTGTTTTGTTTTGTTGCTGACATTGCTTGCTTTTCATGTTGTTTGTCTTAATTTCATCTTTTTGTTGCTTTTCATTGTGTTCACCCATTCTGTTTTGGCAGCCAGGATCACACAATGTATCCTCTGTTTTGTGAAGATGCAATCAGATTGCTCCGCTCCCGTACCATGTGCCGTACCTATTCTGAGGGTGCTTACTATGATCTTGAGAGGTATAACTGATGTGGAGTATGCCATTAGCTCTGCCACACTGACACTGCCATGTGTCATTTACAAACTGGGAATGTGATCTGTCTTTTAAGAGATAAACACATGCAGTGCATATGTTTTTATAATACTCTGGGTATGTATGCATCTTAAAACTGAATAATTGGGGCTGTGGGTAAATCCCAAGAGGTACCAAATAGCTCTGGAGAAGCCAGTTTTAAATAGATTATATGGATATTATATATCTGTGTCTTTTATAACCCTTATTTTTGCTGGAATTTTCCAGAGTGCTTGTAGTATTTATTATTCTCTTTGAAATAACAAGGAAAAGCCTATCTACTTTAAAGTACACAGAAAGAGTGTCTTCTGAAGTCTCATACTTTGCTTAACTGAAAAATAGAGTGAAAAGTAAAAGCGTATGCCTATGTAAGCTTACGTTGTATATATTTGTATATTGCATATTCTGTGACTTAGGAATACTTGTACACACTCACAATACCTGTGGGTGATTGCAGAACATCATAGTTCCTATTTACACATTAAATATATGGAGACAGAATTTGAGCCCTTAATAATTTCTGTGAAATAAGTTGCAACTTGAAATACAGTGGCTTTTAAACTATGCTGCTCAAATACTGTAATTAAGATATTTTCAGAAATGTTGCAAACTGAAAAAGTTTACATAGTTGTTTGTAAATAGAAAGAAGAATATCAACCTGAATACTGTAAGCCAGTAAAAAGGAAGTGGTGACTTCAGATCAGATACAATAGTCAATAGAGGTGTTGCTTTACAAGAGGGGCCGTGTAAAAATTTCCAAAGCAAGAAGTAAAGAACTCTTTATATATTAACTTCATGGCTGCTCTCTGGATATGAGTCTGAGAAGTTCATTAATGCTTGCTCTGTATTCAGATCGTATGTCACCACATTTTTAAGTGAATGTGAAATTACTTTTGGATGCAGAAACTAAAATGGATCTGAAAAATCCTTTGAAAGTAATATTTCTTTTTTAAAATTCTCCAAAGCTATAGTATATTAAACATTTTGACATTTAGAACTCAGTCAAGCATTTGAAATTATGCTGTTTTACACGAAACCTAGTTTAAAGGAATTGCTTAAATAGGTATGTCCACATGTAGAAACTTCAATAAGGAGAGGGATTTTTTGTTTGTTTTCTTAAAATGCATGATGACATGTGCAAAATTGTATGCTATTTCAATAATTAATTTTATATACTTTTTTTTGCCTTAGATATATACTCTGATTTGCACTAGTTTCTCTGAACCTGTTTCAGATTACTGGTTATGTCAGTGACTGTTTGGATATTAGTGAAAGTTGGAGCTATTCTCAAATTTTCTTACTTTGAGGTTCTTGATTTGTAAACCTTAATCTTTGTTTGTGAAATTAATCTCTCAAAAATAAAGTCAATGAAAATAAAGGGCAGAAGTTACAGTACTTCATAAAGATGAAAAAGCTAGTATTTAAGCAGTTGGAAAATCTTCTCCAGGGCTTTATGGAGCAGAAGGCTATTCAAGCTAATTCTTCCTGGGATCAGAAATGAAAATCTGACATGAAGTGGAATATTTCTAGCTCACTGTTAGAACAGTATCTCGATATTCCTTGGGCCTAGAAACTGATCCTGGATTCTGTAATCCTCTAGAATCCAGGCTGCCTGATGGTAACATTAGTGTTCAAGTTACTTGAGTCATTCTACCAGATATGAACTCCTCTTAACACTTCCCAGCCACAATTGTAGCTCCTGGATTTTCATCCTTTTTTTTCTTCCTGTATTTTAACAGCAATTTAAGAACAATTTATAGCATAATTGTTTTCCAGTTTCTCTTTAGACATTGCAAAACACTAAGTAATTTTCTATTCCTCATTTTTTGTAAATATATGAGCAATTACTTTTTAAATAATATTTCCTCTTTCATCTTTACACTTTTCACCAGTTCAGTGCTTACTCTAAAATACATTATTTTGTAGGCCAAGGTGTTATTCCTGTCTTCTTTGTTCCACCTTCTTAATTAATGTCTTGTTGATATCAAGCAATCACATCTCTTCCAGTCTTCCACTTTATCACACATACGAAACAACTTTCCAGTTTCCACTATTCATCAAAATAGCAAATATTGCTCTGTACAGTCCAGCATTCAGGAAAGAGTTTCTCATCTGAGACAGAGAGTTTGTTATCTCATGTCACTCTGAATCCATCAGTATCTGTGTCCTACAGGCAAATGAATGATATAGACATATTAGTCAAAATTACTTGCCTTTGTTATTCATGGCTCCTTTTATTGCTTATCTTGTAGTCATTCACAGCCACCCCACTAACTCTTGTGGTCTCTTCTAATATTTTTTTCCTTTTCTTTTTTCCCCACAGAGTGACTACTTGTTTCTCTTTCATCTTTTCTCTGATGAAGTTTGTGTCAGTCACTTTATCTGACAGACCTCAGTTCACTAGTCCTAGAACACATTTACATTATCAAAAACCTTAATTCCTGAGGTCATTCTTAGGTTATGGCATTCATGATTTTGTTTTCCTGATAGCTCCTCCCTTTTGAAGAAGTCCAGCTCTTTCCCTCCCAAAAGGAACAGTAGCATTCACAAGATATTTACACCAGCATATGCCTAAGAAAGGCAAAAAACCCCTGTGCATCTTCAGGGACTTCAAAACCCTTAGGACCTGGGGTCTTCCCAAGAACATCCTGCTGCTCAGTGCCATGTCCCAAGTTCCCTTGGCTGTTCAAAGTTACAGTCAGCACGGCAGCACCAGCTGGGATCAGCTCACCCTGCTGCAGCTACTCACACTGCAAGTACACAAGGCACCATGGCTGGATGTGCTGAGCTTTACTTACACTTTCATTTGTATCCCCCAGTTCAGAAAACTGCAGAGTTATATGGGCTAATTCATAATTTGACAGTAACACATTTAAAATTGTCTGACACACCAACGATCTCAAAACCACAGTAATGTTCTCAAAGTTCTTATTCTTAACCTTGTCCTGATATTTAAAAAAATATTAGCAATTCATTCCAAATAAAATTATGCTGAAAACCTCACTGTATGAAATTCTTTCTCAACTTACCTACCTCAGAGCTCAGCTTAATCAGCAAGAACACCACATTGTGCAATTTATTTTTTCCACTTAGCCTTTAAGTTTAGTGTTTGCAGGTTCGTAAAAGCTGGTTTGTGCATGTTTTGTGCAGGATGTGAGGTTTCTTTCAGGCAGAATTTCTGTTGTTTCACTTAAGGAAATTAGATTTTTCTTCTGTCTTCTTTCCTGACTTTTGTTTTACCCAGCAGACATTTTCTAACATCCAGATCTTACTTTTGGTGAACACTCTCTGTTCAACTACTAGTTTTCTGTCAATGTAACTTTTTGCTTCTATGACATATGTGTGCATTGATCAAGTGTTCTTAGTAAGTTCTTAGTAAGTTGTTAAGAAAAAAAGAATAGAATTTGAAAACAGAATTTTAAATTTCATATATATACATATATATATATATGAAAATATGTGTTCAGAGTATATAGCTGAATTGAAGGTAAATGAGCTCTATCTTCATCATAACTTAATAATACAGTAAGGGAATAGATAATGAAAAAAGCACCCTCTAAAATGTCTGAAATATCTGTGCTATTTATTCCATATTCAGGAGGACTAGGCAGGAGAGAAGAGTGCCTAATTCATATTATGATGACACAGCCTATACTCCTGAAAGGTATTTTAATTTATATAGTAAAAATAGATAGAGTTGAGTAATAAATTTTTATGAAGCATAGTCTAAAATTCTAATTGACCTAGACTAATGATATTTAAATTTACAGTGCACTTTATGCCATATTTCTATAAATACAGAACAACTAATCTCCATAGTTTTAAGTACCTAATTTTCTTTTTAGCCCTCCATTAATTTGACTTTGGATTTTTTGAGCATAATTCTTAACTTGAAAAATTTTTTATTCATTAGGTGTGGGAGGAAAACTCAATAGTACAGAGGAGCTTAGGTACAACTGAAGGTTTTTTCTCAGCTTTACTGCACCATAATTCTAATGGCTAACCTTTTCTGTCACTAGAGGTGATTCTAGGGCAATTTACTTAATTTCATTCTTTCAATAACCTGAGTACCCTAAGATGGTACTCAGTTTTTAGTATGTTACTGCCCACACTGACTTAAAAAAGGGCTAACCAAATGCCTTCAAATTGGTTTTGAGTGTTTGCTGTGCTAGGAACCAAAGTGCTATTGTTCTTCCTAAATTTTGTTATGTGTATAATGTATCATAATGAGCATAATATCACTAAAATCTGACATGTAATCTGAAAAGTTTCAGAGTGTCTCTGGAAATGGTTATTTGATAACAGCCTTTCATGTTTAAACAGCTAGGCCAAAAGAGAAGGAAATCTGAAGAAAAGAGCAAATCAGTGTTCCTGTCCCTCTTTAAAATTAGATGTTTTATACTTCTCTGTCCATTTTAAAGTCAATGTCTGATTTTTGTCTACTTTATGGGAACAGGTAAAGCAGGGATTTTTTCCTAACAAATGGCAAGGAATTTTTCTTTTATTTGATTGCTATAAATAAATACAGTCATATTTAAGAAAAAATAAAGTGCACTGCAATTTTAATCCCATATTTATGTATTTATGGTGTCTGCAATAAAGTAGTTTTATCAAAAACTCTCATTTAAAATACTGGTTAACTGGAGAGACTGGCTTCAGTTTTGAGGATGAGGATATGGATTATCAGAGAGAGTGTAATGATGTACCTGTCATACTCCAGCAGTATTCTAATTTATATGGGATTAAATCTAAATCTAATCTAAAACTCAATTAGATTAAACTGAAATGACTTTCATCCAGCCATTGATCTGGCAATAAACCATTTGAAAAAAAAAAAAAAAAAGGTCACTCCCATAACCATCCAATTGGACATAGAATAAGCAAGGGTAGCTGATTGACATTCAGATATATTGCACCCCATATGGTCTTCCCTCAACATAATATCCAGGAGATGTGAGGTTATTAAGTTTGTAAACATACTGCAAATGCTCAGATTCTGCAGCGTGAGAAGTTTGGAGAAAAGGCAGACAAGCAAAAAAAAAAAAATACTGCTGTGATTCCCAGGAACAGATTCATGAAAATTCTTGGATCACTGTCCTTTAATCTATGGCTAATATTTTAAGTACATATAAACAGGATGGGTTTTTTTCCAAATTGGTGATATAGAGTGTCTTGATATTTTCTGATAATCCCTGTCTTCTCACTCACTGTCATGTGGAAATCATTGAATACAGACAACATAGGAGTTCCCTGGCTTTACCATAGAGAGATCCTGAAAGTACAAAACTCCAGAGATTTAGTTGAAACTCCTTAGCCAAATGGTGGATGATTTGTATCTAGTTTTAATATACTGGAGTAGTGGCACATAAGCAGTTTATCCCCTCATTTCTTAAAGCAGTTTTTTTGTCCCATTATTTATTTTCTTGATGTTTTTTCTTAAGATAAAATACTTCTATATGTGTTTTTTGTTGTCATCAACTGATATGCTGAAGTGCTGCTGCAAATGCTTGGGCAGCCCATATTCAGTACCTGGAAGAACAATACCACTATAAAAATTAATTAGTTTTCATTGTTTGATCATTGAAGTGAATTTTCTTCTTCTTCTTACATACCTGTGAGAAACCAACTACCCTATCAAATAGAAAAAAAGAATATAACTGGCAAGGTTATGTATTTGAAGTTAAATGCAATATTTTAAACTCTTAATGTATGTTATTTTTGTTAATGTTTTGTCTCCACAATTAGTTTTTTATTATTCCACAAACTCAATGGCCATTAAAAACATGAAGACATTTATGTATGCAAAGATAAGTGATCAATTAGTCTTTATGTAACTGAAGTTTATGGCTTAACTGCTGAAAAGACTAGAGGTAAAATATAATAATTACATAAGGAAAAAAAGCCCTATAATTTTCTTGCTGTTTGGTTTTGAAAAAGTTGATTTTCTTCATACCTGAAAGAAATATGAAACGTACAAAATTATTTTAAAACATTTGGAAATCTTCCCATTTTTTTGAGACGTGGTCATGTCACATGAATTAGAGTGTTAATAGTAATACATCACTTTTTAATAACACTTCTTTATTTTGACTGCATTGTAAAGGTGGTACAATGGTGCAAGTTCATGGGCAGATGATATAGTCAATGGTTCAGCTGAAAAATATGGGTAAGTAAAGAGTGTAGTGTTGCAGATAAAACTAAAATGTATTTTGGATCTTTATAATAATTGCACTAAATTTATTCCTAATAAATGTATTTTTCTTGATGCCTTTCTTTCTTGACTCAGAACTAAAGCACTTATGTTCTAGTCTTTTTTCCAAGATTAAACTTTTATTCAGTTACAAATAGAAAAAGAACGTTAATTATGTTTGAACTATTTTTAAAACATGTTCTCACTGTTCAGGGCTGCTTTAATGAAAAGCGGCTTTTTAGTGATACCTGCCTACATCTGCAGTGTTGGCAAAGGTGTCTTTGAGACCTGATTCTTTTCTACTTTTAGAAATAATCCCACTTCTATCTGTCTAACCTATCTTCCTTTGTGATTGACGCATAACCCATGCAAAATGCTGTGTGCCTTAGAATCTGTACTTCTTCCCAGTTGTAGCTGGCTTCTGATCGAGAAAGCACACAAATGTTCCTTGCTTTTAGTTCATTGACTTTACTGCTTCCCCCTCATTTTCTTATTGCTCTTGCAACAATTTTCTTGTTTTTTACTTCCTTCCTTTGTGAATGTGAACAGAGAACACGAGAGACTGTTAAACTGAAATGCAAAAAATCTGATAAAACCCGGAATGAATCCATCAATATTTTAACGTGGGCTTCTCTCTTGTTTAGAGAGGAAGGATTTGTGAGGGTCTTTTCCTAAACATTTGTGCAGTTGCAGAGACTTGAGACTGTATATATTTGCTAGATTTTTCAACCACAGTGCCACTTTTCATTGGGTCTTCATTTTTAAGTGCACAGCAAAGGCCATATTTATCACTTCATCCTGGAAACTGTATAGGCAAACTGAAAATGAAGAGCATTTAGAGAAGGTTGGAAAGTGCTTGGTATAACTAAAACTTTTGCTTTTGATAATCACATGGAATAGTCCTGTCTTACTTCCCTTTTCTTACTTTTTATCCTGAATAGATGCCAACATAGGTAAATATCATGGGTATATATCTAAAAATAGTTTTTTAACATGAAAAGAAACTTATTAGTTACTACTCTCCTTCTCCATTTAAATATAGCTCCTAAAATGTTTGGCGAAAGAAAAAAAAATATTTGTGAATGTGAACCATTTTATAATGGTTCACATTAATTCATAATGTGAACCATTATGATTTTAAATAAAACATAAGACCTAGATATTATATCTATGCCTTATAACTATTATAAGGCATCTATTCTAACTGATAAAGACTGCTGAAATGGATCAGATTATGTACAGATCAATGGATTTAGAGAATGCCTTTAACAGAAAATGAATGCTATTTTGCTCATTCATAATTTAAGAACTTAAAAGATTGTAAAGTCTTACATACCTGCTGCTGTTTGAATGATCTGATTGAAATCCTGGTCTCATCAAGGGACAAAACTCTTGATATCAGAGAGGTCAGAATTATGGATCTGTTGCCAAAAATTAAGAAGAAGAAAAACACGTAGCTGCAGTATATATACATAATAACTGCATATACATAATAGTTACGACTCTGGTTGTGGTAATTTACTATTTAAACATCTGCCATATTATAGGTGTTTGAAAATGTCACTGAAAAAAAAGGCCAACTATGTATAAGTGCCATATAGAAATAAAGTTATATTTCATATCTGAGGAAAAAAATCCCACAAAATCCATCAAGAACCAAGTACTTCTCATATTTTGCACTTAGTACTACACTTTAAAAATGCATATTTAAGTTACATGATTAGTTTTAAGCCTACAGCTACTTTAATTGATTAGTCTATAGTCTAGGTGCTCTGCTGAACTACTAATTTGAATATTCAAGCTTTACTAGGAAATTCTTCTTTTTCATTTCTTCCCTCTCAAGGTCCTCTGTGCATTGTCTTATGTACCACTATACTTCAGTCATAAGACCTGTTAATTAAAACCCAGGCCTGTTCCTGGTTTTGCTCATACATTGTAGTATAATATTCAAATTGAGTGGGTGAAATATTGTGTTCTGAAATGGGAAAAAATGTGGAATATATTTATTATATAAAGCTGAAAGTGTGAATATTTTGGAATATTTCCAGTACTTTAATGGAAGTTTAGATTATTATCTAGAGAGAATCACTGCAGTAGATTCAGTTATAAAACTGAGCTGGGGTGAAGGAGAGGAGAGGATTTCAGCTCTCATCTTTGAGAATTTTGAATTCCCAGCTAATCAGCTTTATCATGATCTTCAGTGAGTCATCTCATGAACATAGAGATGAGTATTCCTGCAGGGCAATTCTTTTGCTTGTGTCAGTTGAGAGTCTGTTTTAAGGATGTTGAAAGTTAGAAGTAGTTGGCAAAATACAAGATACTGTACAAGGCAGCTGGCTATATAAGTGAAAAGTTCCTTGCAAGTACTAGAAGCAAAAAAGTAAAAACCCTCTACAACTTTTTTGCAGATAAAAATGGTATGAAATGCATATAATTTCAGTCTTCCAAGGATTTACAATAGTTATTTTTTTATTGATATTTAGTTGTAATAGCTATTATAAAGCTCTAACTGCATCAGAAGGATCATAAAATAATTTGGGTTGGAAAAAACCTTGTCTCCTTCAACTCTCTCAGTGAAGCATGACTTCGCTATTCCTCAGCAAATATATCAATGATGACACATATTTTGGAGAGTAAATCTCAACAGGTGTAGGTATGTATGCTTTCCTTAAGCATTTTTGTAATTGTACCATGCCATGTGTTAGCATGGTCAGCTGTGTCCACAGCAGTCACGAAGTGAGTGCAGTGTCAGGTCCAGACACCTGAGCAAGCTGTGAGCAATTGCATTCTGTGGCTGCAGCAGAACACAGGAGTGTGGAGCACAACGTGCCTGGGATCATGGCAGTGTTCCCTGCTTTGTCTGCTCAGCTGAGTTGGCAGAATAGTTCAGACTGTCATGTTGCAGTTTAATCATGCCTGTCACTGGCATGGAGATATACTGGTAGTTATCCCATATACCACAGGGTAATATGCGTGTGACCAGATCATACAGTGTATGGATGCATGTATATATGTGTATACGTGTGTGTGTGTGCATCTATATTACATATATTAAAAATTATAGACTATTATATATAATTATTAAAACATTATATTACTATTACAGTATTATATTACTATTACAGTACACTATTACAACCAAAATATCTTGCTTTACCTTTTTTTTTAAACCAGAGTACCTAAAACCGTCCTGTCCTTTAAAAACTAAAGCAGCACATGATTTTATATTAGGTTCCTTTATGAGTATAGATGAGTTTCCCTTTATGAGTTATTTGCTGAGATATCCTGTCACCAGTTTTTCTAGAGATTTGACAGTGTGCTGCTCTTTCCCATTTTCCATTGCAATATTTATGACTCAAATTTAAGTTGTTTTGGTACTAGAAATAACATTTGTTTTTAGACATGCTTATCTATGTTATGCTAACAGAGGATCTTGTGTCTGTGACTAAACAGCAAAGTTCCTATAGCTAGTAGAAGAATAACATGTCCAAGGATTGAAATCCAGCAGCCATCCACAGACACTGACAGGTATTGCCATTGTATATTAGCTGGAGTTTGAAATTATGATACTTAGAAAGTGTGTTGTTGTAATTTTCTTGTTCCGTTCAGTGTTTCTAGATTAAAAAGATGCACTAGGAGCTGAATTGTAGTGTACTGTAATCCTACAGCAATTCTATTTTTATTTCTTCAGTTTTTTGTTACAAGAAAAACCTAATGTTAAAATGATGATAGGCATGATCTCATAATTTTTACAGAGTAAAAGAATTTAACATGGGCTTTTAAATAAATGGTTTTCAGTGATTTTGGGGAAAAAAAAGAGATCTATTTGTTATGTAAGCTGTTACAATTGCTTACTGTTGGAAAATGTTAATCTTTTATAAAACTTTTTCTATCCATAAGTTTAGATCAATGACTATAATAATTTGTTGAAAATTCTTTTTATTTGTTAAGAAAAGTAACAAATCTGAAAAATTAAAAATCAGAAAGTCTTATTTACTGCATAGGGAAAAGAGTTCACATTTGAAATTTGCAGTATATATATATATATATATATATATATATATATATATATGAATGGAGATAAATCAGTATATAAAATACATTTTTTTAGCATGTTTGGTTAGGTACTACAGCAACTAGAGTTTACAGTGGTACCTAAATGATATTAGATTCTGGTTCTAATACTTGATGGATTTGGAACACGAAGTTAGACTGTGAATACTCACAGAGCTTTCTGTGTAGTGACTTACAGAGAGCTCAGACAGTCTCATAGGGATTGGCTTGCTTGGTTAAGAAGCAAACACTGCTGTACCATTTCCTAAGAGTAAGGGAGAGTTGTGCTTACAAGTCTTGCAGACTTTGGCATGGAAATTAACCATCTACCATGCCTGTCTTCCCTAGCAAAAGTAGAAGGCTGCTACAATAGGCAGTACTAGATGGAGGAGGCCATTATTTGACATTTTATTAACTGCATTTTCATAAGGAAAAGTCTGTTAGCAAAGGTAAACAGTGCTAGTGTCCATTAAAATGTTATATGGATGTTGAATAATTTAACTAAGACTACCATATTTCCCTCTTTAAAAATCAAGTAATTCATATGATATGATTTGTAATGAGAAAAGAAGAAATTTTCATCTAGAAAATTTGTAAGGATAAATCTTTAAGAATGATATCTGAAAAGTTAGAAAATTCAATTTTTAATTTAGCTTCCTCTCATAAGTATTGCTGGATTTTGATATTCATGCATAATTGTTTACAGTGGTAAGCAAGGGGTGTCACTGCACAAGCAGCTTATCAGCTAGTTTTCCTGTAAAAGGGACAGTTGCTGAAGACTGGGATCATGTAGTACATGTGTTTACTGTTAAAAGGATAAAAGAATAAGTGAGGATGAAGACCAGAGAGTAAAACTATTTTTTGAATTGCTCTTTATATGCATATGATGTAAAACCACAAAGTGAAGCTTTCAAGTGGAAGACTGTCCCCTCGACAAAGCCCTCCATTTGCTGTAGTCCTTACTGAGAGGATTGCAGCCTGTAGACTGAGGGTGACAATCAGTTTGACCTCAGGACTCAACTTAGTCGTCAAATCCTTCAGTCTAAAAAGCAGCATTGCCTCAGCTTCAAAGGTTTACTGCCAAAATCCACCCTCTCCTTCACTTCGGAGAACTCCCAGCTGTAATTGCACTTGAAGGAAATGCCCACTGGAGGTTGTAGCAAACTGTGTATTAGCTACTGAGTGTGACATTTTTGAGGCCTTTACCTGTTTAACTGCAGTTGCTCCATGTTGTTCTGCAGAGCATAAAACCTGCCTGCTAAGCCATTAGTATTGATCCCAATGGTAAGAATGCCTCCTTCCTTCTAATCAGGCAATAGGTCAGACCCCTAATATCCTAAAAACTACTTTTTATACCTATAGAGCTAAAGAGAATGAGGCCTTAAGAGTAACAAATGGGAGCCTTAACTTCTCATGAAGACTTTATGAGAAACATGTGGTTGCCACTCACCTGTTCCTCTGTGTCCTACTGGCTGTTGGAAGGAGAGAGGAATGGAGCATGGAGTGACACCCTTACCATATTGCCCAGTCCCTGCTGCTGGGTGCTCCAGCAGTCCTCTACTCACTGACAGGAGAAATGCTGACAGACCCAAAAAAGTCTCTGTAGGCTCATTAATATTCTTAAATATGTGGATAAACAAGATAAGGGTGGGTTTTTCAAGACCTGGATATAATTATTTGTAATTTTGTTGAACTTAGGTGTATTTTTTCTTGGAATTTATTCCCATAGTCAAAGAATGTATTCTATGGTCATTTCTTGCCATCATGCAGATGGGTGACATTTTTCTCACCTTCCATAACACTGAAACCTCACTTAAACTGTTACTTAAACTAAATAGCATTCCTATCAAAGCTAAGGTTGTGTTTCTCTGTCTATCAACAATGTAAAAGAAGCGAGACAGTGGATGTTTTTGCTGATGAAGCTTCCTATTCAGAAACAGAACTGATAGAAGAAGAAGTGAGGTAACCTTGTTGTGGTTTTGTGCCAGGCTCACTGTACTTTTCCTACAATCTTTAGTGCCTCAGCTTATAATTACCATTTATGTGTCTCACTGTGGTGTGTTTGCTTGTTAGGAGCTTATAGATGTAGGTTCATGACGTATTGTATTATTCTGTATCTGTCTGTGGCAAGTCCCTCGTATGCTATAGGAGTGCAATTATGACCTCATGGAAGGCCTGAAAAGACTGTTTTTAATGAATATTTTGTAAACACATTTGGCAAAATCAGCCACTATACTCTTTTTAAATGTTTTTAGAAATAAAATGCTGTTACTAACATAAAAATCTTCATAATAAGGCTGTAGTGTGTCTCTCTCCTTTTTGATACTAATTAAAATTTGACTTCTTGTTACACTTAATCACCATCAAGCCACTCATTGTATTAACTGACTTCATTGTAAAATGCATGACTTCACTCAAGGAAAAGTTCTGAAGGGTACACATTCCCCATTTGTATTCTGTATCTGTTCAGTTACTCAAGGAGAGCTGGGAGGAGTGTGGTTTTAATAAATATCTCCATTAGGGTCTGGATTTTACTTTTTTAATTGCCTTGATTTAATGTATTTCAGGATATTGCTAACAAATATTACTCCTTGAAAATAGACCAATTACATTGAGAAAAAGGTGGGGCTTGATTAATTTCTGAAAATAATGGCCTGATTAATAGCCTAAGATAGTAGAAGATATCAAGAATATTGCTTGATCAAGAAATTCTCTTTTACGCAGTCTAATTTCTTCCCATTACATCTCTAACAATAACTTTTTCCACTGCTGTTTTGGTACAGTTCCATAGGCTATGGGTTAAAATGATTTTTGAATTACAAACCAATTTTTTTCTAGTTGTTGGAACCTCTGTAAGTACTAATGATGTAGATTTTCATCTGGTTACAGTCTCAGCACCACATATGAATCCATCACTTATTGACTAGCCTATATATAACAGACGTCCCCAAGTCTAATAATAGTTAACAGTGCTACATGGTAATTATAACATCTAGACTGTGGACTTTTCTACGAACAAGAGTGGTACCTCTAGAGACAATGCAATCTCTAAGAAATCTGTAAAAATCAATTCATATGAGAAAAAATGCGCAACTAAACTGCACTATTAATGAGTTCTTAGCTTTATTGAGACTATATATTATGTCAGCTACTCTTTTATTCACAGGTTGATACATTAATAGACAAAATAACAATATTTTAACCCAGAAGTTGTCAGGAAACAGACTATTGCATGGATAGTCATTACTGAGACATTGGAAACATTTCAGCCCATTTATCAAGAGTATGGAGCAAGTCAAATCATACGTGTGAAAAAACTATATGTTATCAAGAAGTTATCTCAGAAAATTTATTCCCCCTAAAAATGTATGTAATAAAATGATTTGCTCCAAACCAGTATCATGCAGCATATTTTATAACTAACAGAAAAGTCAAAGTTCAACTGAGCTGCTTTTTGACTAACATTACAGGAATTGTGAAGCAGCAGATAGACAGCCATATCAAAGATCCAGATCAACAGAGCAACGTCCTGTGCTAGAGCGGACCAACTCCCGCTCCCGATCCACAGAGCGTCCTGACTCAAACCTCATCAGGTCGATGCCTTCATTAATGACTGGAAGATCTGCCCCTCCTTCACCTGCCTTACCGAGGTGAAACAGACAAATCAATCGGACTAAACCCCTTCTGCCCCACCAGCTCACCATTTTATTTTCCCAGTAGCTAATTGGTATCGCCTCATCCTTAGCTGATTGCTAGCAGCAATAGATACTAACCCTTTCAGTGTGAACACACTATTTATATTCTACTCTGGATATAATGGTGTGGCTACCATTGCAAATTGCTTGCTAACAGTATTTAACTATATTTGTTTATGATTTCTCATTTGTCAGGAATCCTGGATGGTTTCCACATAAAGCACCTCATAACTATCATATTCTTCTCTTACAGAATGAGAAATTATTTGTGTTCATCAGACATTGCTTATGGAACAACCATCATAACATCAAATGAAACTATTTTTTTAAAAAAAAAAGTTTCTTTAGATGCACTGTACTAACTTTGTCTATTACTTTTCATTTTAACCACCATTTTCTCTGACTACATTTTACTGTGCCATAGTCTGTACTGTTCCTGTTTGAGTACCCCTTATTGATATTTTGAGGATTTCTATACATTATTCTTAGCTTAAACAAACATAATACAATAAAAAAGTGAGCACATTCTAGATCATGTTCAGGAAAACCTCTCTGTATTTTAGAACTGCAGAATACATTCTTTTGTTTTCTGAAAGTTAGAGTTAGTATCATCAAATCCCCAGTGAAAATTGAGTCAAATATCATTGTCTTTCCTCAGTTCATTACTCTGTTTAGACAAATTCATGTAATCTCACTGCAACTCAAAGGTAATTTAAAAAACAAGCTGAGTAAAGATAATTGAATTTGACTTGTGAATAAATTTATGTGTATATGGCTATTATATCCATATGCACGTGAATATGCACACAACACATTTTCTGGCTTAACTGTGTGAAAAACCTTGTTATGGAAGCATCCTCAGCCTTAATTTGGCTTCCTTTTAATGGAGAGATTTCTCTTTTTAATCAGGTCTTTTTCTGAATAGAGATAATAGTTTCCCTCTTGGACTGCAAGGGTCCCAAGTGATGTAAAGTCTATTTAGTCACGTTATCAGTTCTTGATGATATTTAAGAATGACCTTGTCATTTAATGGCTGTGGTTTGTTTTGATATGTGTCTCATAGGTCACATCCTCGAACTGGGTCTGTCCAGACAAGTCCATCAAGTACTCCAGTAGTGGGGCGAAGGGGCAGGCAGCTACCACAGCTCCCACCAAAGGGGACGTTGGAGAGAAGTAAGTGGATGCTTTTCTCCCTAATGACATTACCAAATTGCTCATCAAGGTCGATTATATTCATTATTTTTCTTTTGCCATTACAGTTGAAATCTCTTGCGTTTTTGTGTACAGAGTTGGGATTTGATAATGGTATTGCATTTTGTACTGTGTTTTCAATTAGGTTTAAACACCTATGAGACTCTTGGCTGGCATGAATAATCAGCAGTATAATGCACGCAAAACAAGGCGGACTATTACCATGATCCTGTTCCTTTTGAACTCAGTAGGTGTTTTGTCATTGACTTCAACAGGCACAGGAAATGATCCTTAGTATGTTGTTTAGTGACAAAATTCTGGCTCTTTTGGGAGTCAGGAACCTAGTTGATGACTTGTGGGCTCACCTGGAGTGTATTACAGAATGCTTATATAAAACCTCTGCATCTTGAAAGAGGAAGAGCACGAAGACAGGTAATAATCTTTAAAATAAGAAATGTCAGATATTTTCTGATTCATGTTTTACTGGTACTGTAATTGTGCCTACTTTTAATGTCTATTAAAAGCCCTGGTTGATGGAGATATTTTCTGAAATGTTTAGAGACAAAGGTATATAAATGCATTCTTGACAGCAAATACATTTTCATGATTATGTTTCTACTAACTAGGTGTGCCATGCAAAATCAGTCTAAATGGCCATCAACACTCCTTTTTTTTAATCCTTCTTAACATGTATATTGTATCTTTAAAAAAATTCTGTTGTTTTTAACCCCTGTGCTTTGGTTCCTTTTTTTGTTGTTTTTGTTTTTGTTTGTTTGTTTTGTTTTTTGTGACTTTCCGTAGACAATGGAGACAAGGAGATAGAGTCTTATGAAGGTCTGTACATAAAGAAGGACTTGTTTTTCACCTGAAAGCCTTTTTTCAGAGGCTGTATAGGGAAAAACAAACCCAACTGCAATTGATGTTACTTGATTACACAGACATAGTCAGAATTATTGTCATAATGATTTAGTCTTTATTTTTAGGCCTGTGGCTCAAAAATTTTACCGGGTTCTGCATGAAAAAAAAAGACAATATAAATAATACTATCTAAATATGATTGTCATTATAAAAGTACCTAAGCCTGTACCCATTTTTAAAAACCTAGAATTTGCCCTATGGCAAATAAAAACATTTCAGCAGTTATGTATGTACATTTCCAGGATTAGCAGATATTCATGCACATGTTTATAGATAAACATTGGAGGATATTTCACATGCTTTATGTTAGCCATTCATTTAATCAGAATAATGTTTTTATTGCAAATATTTTATATTTTATAGTGTGATACATTTGCTGAATTAGTAGGCAATTTGAAAATATTATGGGAAAAAGTATTGCATTGAGATAGTCTTTCAAAAAGTTAAAATATTTTTGCTTAAAATAAAATCCCCTTATATTTTACAGTATTAAAACAATTTAATTTACTTAATAACAAGCCACAAGATATCAATTGCAGTCCTTGGTTGTACCACTGAGGGTCTTTATGTAGTATTAATGTGTTTGTCTCATCAAACTTTTTAATTTAGTATTTCCAATGTTTACAGTATTTATTTCCATTTTGGAAACAAAACTTCATGAAAAGAAAACTCTAGTTTTCTTGGATCATCACTCTATTATATTAATTTCTTTGTCACCTTATGTGTTGTGAATTGCTTATATGAAATAGAGTCTAGATATTCCAGGAAATAATCACATCTAATCACATGATGTTTGCTGTCATTTCTCTATATGCTTTTATGTTTTACCACTCTTCCCTGCTCTTTGCTTAGTATATCTATTTAGACTCTGAGCTCCTCAGAGCAGCAATTGTGAAGTGCTGTATATTTTTACTGTGTTTCATTAGAGAGGGTAGAAGCCTTCTTTATTATTTACATCATAGGTTGTATAGGGAGAAATGTAATATATGCAACAAAATAACTATTTTTAATAGGAATTCTAGAATTTTTTCCTCTGGTAAGTACTGCTGGGACTTGAGGAAATCTCTTTTTACTCGAAAACTGAGTACTATTTTCCTTTTACTTTGTCTTTTGAAAAAAGTAGTCTTTTGGAAAATCTGGGTTATGGAAAATTGTCAGATCCACAGATTCTGATGTTCTAATACGCAATCAAAGCATCATAAGTGACTCAAGATACAGCAATAAGAAGTTTCATATTGAACTTACATGTATAAAGATGGTAAACACTCTTAAAAACCTAATCCATAGGTACAGCTTTCATAGAGCATTCTATGTAATTTTCTGTCATGAATTAAGAGCTCATATTCTAATACCAACAGAGTTTTTCTTTGAGGATTTTTCTATCCTTCTCTAGGATTTTCTTTAAAGGGAGTAATAATTTTCCTTAAAAAGGGTAGTCTCTGTAAGAACAGCAGATTATCTAACTTTGTTCAGTGACAGAATATAATTAAGATTAATAGCTTTACTGTGGAGAATTGAATTTTACAGAAAGTTATTTTAGGCAAATGAAGTACCAGTTACAAAAACTGAAATTTAGTAGAATTGGAAACACTGACTATCATAGAAGCAGTTTATGTTAATATTTAACAAATATAGCATCAAGTAAACCTGCAAATTTTGTAGATATTTGAGTATGTTTCAATGCCTTTTTTTTAAGCCCCAGTGATAATCAAAATTTTTTGTGTGGTTGGGAAGGTTATATGACCAGATCAAAAAATGTTGTCATAGAGTAGTCCTTTCTGCTCTTACAGAACACATACTTGACTCAAATGAGAGAGGTGTTTCCATATTGCATGGAAATGTGCTGTGAAGGTTAAACTTTCTGTATTTTGAAATCAAGGATTTTACTGTCAGCTAGATTAAATTAAAACCAAACTGATTAAAAGAGTTAGTTAAAGGCATCTTATAGGCAATGATGAATTGAAAGTCATCTCAGCTTTGTAAAAGAGGAAAAGAAAGAAGGAAAAATATATCTGTTGCAGACTCCTACAGTGGCTCATTTAGTTTGCATACATTTGAATAATTTGTATTTCTTGCAAGGTTGTATCTGCATACCTTTTCTTTAAATGTTGTACAAATGCCAGAACTCAAGTAGAAAGAAGGGAGTAATTTGCTGCTGGAGATATTTTTTGTTACAGGGCAGCACTCACTAGAATGTGGAATATGGTGTGCTTATGGCTGTCTGACTAGAAATGCAAGGGAAGGAATCTACAGGGAAAACCCCAAGCCTTTGGGTAATTGTTATCCAAATTAGGATCAGAATCAAAAAACCATTCATTTGGATTAGATTTCTTTCCATGAACTGTATTATGTGGTTGGGAGTTTTTGCTCCAGGACGTGTAGGTGCCTCTTGAATACTTTATTTCTAAATAGCCCAAATTGTTTGCTTTCAAGAAAGCTACCTGGGAGTAGCTATGAAGGACCATACCTATCTGTGGTGTACCGATCCAAACATTTTAGTCAGTGTCCCACGTGCTCAGTAGAACATACAATATTCTTAGTTACGTTGCATTTAGAGCCTTTTATGGTCATGATATTTTTGCTAATTCCTTAGGTTGCCACTGCTCTGTTTATTGCAGTATCAGATTTTCCTGTTGAGAAGAATGACTGGGTATTTCTGAAATGTTTGTCATTGCCTTGTCTACCCAGGCTAAACCTTAGCATCTAGGCAGTTTGGGTTTTGTTTTAGATTTTATGACTTCAGTATATTTTCATGTAATGTGCCTTGAAAATAGTTCTGAAAAGATGTCTGGGACCACCTAACAAATTTTCACTACTGAAATGCCAGAAGACTTTTTTTTCAGCTAAACTTTTGCTTGTATATTTTTAAATTACACTAGAGATAGAAATATCTTGTTTAAATGAACATTTGTAGAAAGTATTGTTAAATTGAACTTGGTTTTAGTGCTGAAATGTTGATGTACTCTTAGTGTTCTGTATTTTTCACACTAGTTGACAAGAAGTGAATAATGCAGTATTTATAGTTGTTAAGGGTTAACATTATTTTTTTTACATTTATATGTGGCTACAATGTATTTCTTACTTGCCTTGGCAGAAGAATGAAATCACTGACTGCTTGCTCCTAATTAAAATGGAACACCATAAAGTGAAAGTTTTCAGTACATTGTTAATTACTAATCAGAGGGAGAGTACTTTTTCCTGATATAGGTTTTTATTTTTCCTTTTAAAAATAAGCTTAGCCCTTTCTTTCTTCTCTCCCTAAAAGATCCTCCAACCATTCACCCAGTCCCAAATAAATAGAAGATCACGTTAGGCCAAACAGATGTAGTAAAACCTTAAAATTTGGAAATGAAGTGCTCAGAAATTTAACAAATAATAGAGCTCAGTAAGGATTTGCCTTTCTATTTATGCTCTATCATAAAGACTTTAATTATATGATCTTATAATAATCTCGTGTCTTGGGAAAGTTATTTCAGAACCTGTTAAGGTCTGACATTAATGCTGATTAACTGTCCTCTTTTAACTTCAGGTGTGGGTAATCTTTTTCCAGAATAAAATTAGATATTAAAATTAACAGGAATATGGAATTAACAGGAATACTTGATTAGATTTAATCAGGGATAGCTAGAAACCATTAGTTAGTGTTTGTACCTCTCAGATACAGATTTAAATCTCTTAAAGGGACAGAGGTATAGTGACAATGTACTGTTGCAACTCACGCAGCCTGGAATGGAAGCTGCAGAGACATTTTGATGGTTAGGAAAGCACAGATACTACTGACAGAAGTACATGCCATTTATTTTAAGGGGTTTTATCTCATTTAGAACATAATTTCTTTAAATGAGAATTCGTTCTGCAAAATGAAAAGGAATTTTATAGTTTTTTACATAGCCCTACCCTACTTGGATGGGAGACACAGAAAGGTGGTTATAATGCAATTGCAGAGGACCAGTATTAAGACTGGTCAAGATACTCTATCAGCTCTGATTTTGCAGGGTTTTAAAAATATATGGCATATGGGTATTTTGTTTGATAAAAATGATTGATCAGATGTATAAAATATAGGAGAGGATCTTAGATTACCTTCAGCTTGGCTAGAAACTTGATGTCTTAAGCAAACATCGCAGTCTAAAAGATGGAAATATAGAACTTTGCACCGTTTTTGTGTGGATAGTTCTGTGGTACTGGCTGTACTATGCTAGGAACCTTCATCCTTGCACAATGTAACTTGCATTTTGTGTGCTTGACAGCAAAGTGAACAGAATAGGTTAGTTGACATCAGTAACATGGCTTTCTTGGGATACTTTCTGAGTCTGCTTTGGGGTTTTGATTTCAACTATGATTTTGCAAAAATACACCTTTGGGATGTGACTGTGGATGCTTAGTTCACTTTCCTGAGAGGCAGCAGAATCCTCAGACCCTGAAGAGTATTAAAATATTTAAGTAGTATTGGTACAATTTCCATAGAAAAACTTGAACAAACTTTACCTGTAACCCAGAGTTTAAAGTGCTTAATTAAAAGGTTCTTACCTTTCAAGGGAAGTCATAGTTTATAAATTTCTCTTGGATTGGCAAAAGCAGAAATTAAACAGCTTTATGAAATTTGAAGATCTTACTGTATAGGTCTGAGACTACAAAGGGCATAAAAGGAAAATGACTGAGAAGTCATACAGTTGTGCTTATGGCAGACATTGTTCATTTACCTTTCATGGTATTTACATACCAAAAACATTTTAATTCAACTCTACTGAAAATGGTTTTTTAAAGTCTTAGACCCATCTTCTATGCATTTGTTTCTATGAGAGAAGGTTGACTGTATAGATTATATCCCTGCTGAATATTTTAATTGAAATTTTCAATGTCCTGATTTGAATTGAAGTTTAAATGGCCTGGTTTTATCATGGAGTTGTAGAGCA